AGTCAACCCCTATTTTCTGAACCTTGTGTTCAAAAATTCCAAAAAAAATATATGTTTTATGGTTATCGATATACTTTAATCCATAATTTTTTTAAGCAAATTTGACTCGCCATTTTTGAGTCATATCGCAAAAACTGAAAAAAAAAGTAGTTTTTCACTATTTATTTCAGAACGAATAGATGGAGTTTCCCATTATTTTTATTACGAACTACTATTGTAATTCTACGCGACATATATTTTTTCCAAATTTTTTGAACTTGTAGTTTTCTCGCTACTGCAAAAATAGTTGGAAATACGCCCGTAGCTACACTGTTTAGAAAAAAATCCGACGGATGAACGTTCAAAATGATTTGCGTTGGTCGAAACTACAACCCTGTTTATGTAAAACAGAATAATACTTCGAATTTCCGCCAAAAAAAGAAAAAACGTTTCATCTCACAATTTAACCAATTTTTTTTTGACAGTCAAGTTAGGGCACACTATAGGGGCGACAGCATTGACATCTCGCGTTGCTATAATAAACTATAGGCCTGACTTTAAACCTTAAGGGCTGGTTTATTTCTCGGTTTATTCACTTTTTGATAAACTGTCAAATAATGCAATCTGACAGATAAAAAGGCAATCTGCAAACCCCGACCAGTTATTTTTCGACCAATAGGTTTATAGATTCGTCAATTTATCTTGCAGACAGTCACCAGAAAATTTATTTGGAAATGAAGAAACCGAGCCTTAACGTTCTATGGGATTCACATACCAACACCAACCACACGCTTGCTCGCAAGCAGAATAGCAGGATATCGAAAAGCGAAGATAGGATTCAAAGCAGAAATGTATTTTTCTTTTATCATCAACGATTTGGAGGCGCCCCCTGAGGTCTGGCGCCTGGAGCGCTCGCTCCGTTCGCCTTATGGTAGGGCCGGCCCTGCCGCCATAGTGCAGAGAGAGATGCAAATCCCACTTGTTTGTTATCCTTCCTGGCACAAACCCTTGCGTTAGAAATATTATGCAGCCACCGTTCCAGTGTGTTTGTTTAGTTCATTGATTAGATGCCATTGGATGGGTCGATGTGAGTATGACAGGTGACAGTGACGTGATACTGTCAATTGTCATTATACTGAATTTAGGTTGTGTTCGTTTTTGTAATCTTTTTCGTCGATTTGCTCCGAAATTTTCACAGGCACGTGATTTGTAAATTAAAACTGTCTGATCCAGACACGTGCCTGTCAAAATTTCGGAGCAAATCGACGAGTAAGATGACAAAAACGAACACGGTCAAGTCAATATATGAAATATATTATATATTTCTCTTTTTAATCATGTAATAAAAAAAAATGGGTAAAAAGTCAAAAAATCCTCTCCCATCACTTTTTATAAAGTGGCACTATTTGGCACTATTTGAGTGTTGCTGCAGGCACACACGAAAATTCCCCAAGAACAACCCTGATAACGTACCGTTACATACCTGGAACATAGTTTTAGGCGATTGAGCATAATGCAGGAGAGAATCGAAACTGAAGCTCCTCTGCCCTGGTATTCACACTCTGCTTAGAGTTTTTCTTCAGAACAATTAACATGATTTTAAGCAATCGAGCAAAATTAAGAATAAGTCGGGGTTGAATCAGTTTTTTTTGTGCTATTTTTAATCTCTGTGAGAGTGAAAAAATAATTATAAATCCAAACGCAATATCACCAGAGGAGTCCTCTTTGGAAAAGCGGGAAATCTATTTCAATCGGTAATGTCGTTCCAGAAAAGTTATGTGCGGATGAATTTGGATTAGGAATATTCTTTTCAAAGATAGTTAATTTAGATATTTATCTAAGGACGAGTTAAATCGCTTTAACCCTTCTCCCCAAAAAAAATGCATTTAAACCTTTCCATTATTGGGACAGCAAAACGAATTCCCTTAGAATCCTATAATGAGCGATGGAGTCATCTAAACGGTCGCGTGAATAAACAGAACCGTGGAGGATATGAGGCATTACAGTTTGGGCGTGCCTCAGCTTCGCAGAAAAGGTCGATGTACCCGAAAAAACTTCGGTAAATGACTAGGTATTTTTGAAACTACTTCTGTGAATAAAGCGATATGGTAAAATATTCAAGTTCAGTTTAAAAATTCAATAAAACTAGAATATATTGTAAAGTTATTTATTCAGAGAAACGCCCTTGAAAAACGCGTGGGCAGTTTCGAGAAAATGAAAATGTCATACTCCTTATGAAATACTTACATATTAGAAATTGTGTTGAGGAAATTTGATGCTGTAGTCTGTAGAGAAATTAAAACTGTATTCAAATATAAAATGTTCTTGTCGAAAGTATCCTTACATAATTTTTTCCCTTAAAATATATTTCATATGGAGTCTCCAATGGAGAGGAACGTGTGCGCTGTTTTATAAAACAAAAATGTCATATTTGTCGTAAAAGTTAACTGCATGAAAAATGCTGTTGATAAATCTTCATATGGTTTAATGTAGTGAGAAATTAGTCCATAATTTCGATTTATATTCTATGGCTTCTCATTGGAAATAACCTTAGAGGATTTCTCCCGTGATAGTCTATTGAAAATATCCAAAATGTAGCGGTGGAAGGGAACAATTGCTTTAAAGGATTTCATTGGTTCAGTATGTTAGTTTGACACCTGAAATTGATAAAATCACCCCAAAATTCAGTGATGCGTTTTTGAGAAGCCACCGAAAATACACCTGTGGTGTTTTTTCCAAAATCGGAAACAAAGCAAATTTCGGAATTTTTATAATATTTTTTTGTAGAAAATTGATTTTTCTATCGAAGTGTATTTTTAATTGTTATTTATGCATTATTTTGCGTCCGGTGAACGAAGAACCCGTTATTCAGAGGTAAATATTAAGAAACTCATACTGGAAAATTGTTCGTGAATAGATGCGTTCATTTTATGGAGGTGTTCGAAAATAGAGGTTCTACTTCATACCTAATATTAAACAAAAATTGCAAAACCAACAAATCAGTGCAACTTATGAATAATGTATGCTCTTGGAGCTAATTGATCGTTGACGCTGCCATCTAGCGAGAAAAAATCTCATAATCAATCACAAGAACATAATAGCGCTGATTGACTCTACTGCCTTTAGAGTGAAACAAACTTAACAAATTACCCCATAAGTACCTACATGCGAATCTTTTAGACCGGTTGAATTAAAGGAATTTTGTCTCCTCTGTTTTCTCTGTACGATCGACGGTGACCGAGATATCGCATTCAGTTGTTGAGAATTTTTGTTTTATTGTACTTAAATAAATTTATTCGCTGAAAATTGAAACCAAGAATTTATCAGAGCAAATGTGGTGAAAAATTGTGAAAAGTGGTGAATGAAACAATGTTTTTTCTATATCTTTCTTCTTTCGTAACATTTATGTATACCTACGATAGCCAAAAAAAAAGTTAGGGGTGAAAGTAAAAAAAAACGTGAATTGTAAGTTTTTAGGTTTTGTATTTCGATTATCCCAAGTACTGAAAATTAACAAGCCATGTTTCCATGTTTCGAAATAAAATTTAATTTTAAACAGAAAATTATTTTTCGAGTTAATTTCAAAATCCTATAAAGGTGCAGTTTAGGTCGGTTCTCGACCCTTTTTAAATGCATTTTGTGATTTTATCTGACAAACTAACATATTAAATCAATAAATCCATTTAGCGCAATTATTTTTTACCCAAACCAATATGATACATCGGTTATAATAAGTTTGCATTTTATTAAGTATTTGATCGAAAATAGTCTTTTTTTACTTGAATTTTAATGTAAAAAAAAAGTCCAATGCAATTTAGGTAAATAGAAATATTTTAAAATAACCTATTTTTATTAGGTACATTCTTTCCAAATATTAGCACAATTATTTTAAAACTAGTCTCTGCCAGGTGATGTGAATAAAATTGTTTGTTATATTAACAGGAGATCATTTAAAGAATCTATAAAGAATGTGCACGATGAGATTGATAAAAATCAAATATTTATAATAGAAGTCACTCTACTTGATAGCTATTACCACAAGTACATTTTGGTAAATGTTCTACAGACAAGCTTGAATTGATCTTTGGGAGTAGTGATCATTTAATATTCTAATAGCAAAGAGAATCTGTTTCCAATACAAATATTATTTCACACATATCTCATGTTAATGAACAAGACTTTACGTGAAAGCCTTTTCTAGATTAATTTTATTAAATTAAATACCTACTAATTAAAATAAAGCCTCATAATATACCTATCCAGTAAATTTAAATGTAAGCAATATAATATACCTAATAATAAAGGCTTCTTCCGTATTCGGTGGAAAATTTTCCCATTACGAGAAATTGCGGAAATTACCAAACTTTCAAAAATAATTAATGTGATTGAAAATAGAAACAATAAATTTATTTAAATACCATATCAGCCTTTTCCAAGCAATTCTTTAATACTAAGAGACGTGCAAAGCGCACTGTCACTTCTTTATCGATTTTCACAGTATAGGCAGTGGTAATACTCTACGGAGGGAAAAGGTTCTTTTTCCAAAGCCTTAATCTTCTTAAAACATCTAACTTATGGCAAGATGTGCTTTAAACTTGCTAAAAGTAAGGTTGCTCAAAAACTTATAAGTCATCCATTTGGTTGTATTTTATTTTATTTTTTCAATTAGGTTTTATTTAGTTTCATTAATAAAATGCTACTATATGATATTCTATTTTTAGTTCCATTAAATACAATGTGAAACATAAATGATAAATATTATTAGTAGCTTAGGTAAACTTGACGAAGATAAACTGGCTTCAATTTTTAATATGTTTTCTTAATATTAGATATAACCTGATAATCAAATATGTGTTATTCAAAATATTTAGGTCACACTACTATTTATTATTCTAGAAAAAAAATATTTGCAAATTTAGGTGGAATGCGTTGGCATGAAACTATTCAGCCTAATTATAGTAATGAGCTATGAGTTTGTAAGCTTAGTGTTCGCTTGTTAAGAAAAATCATGCGAAAATTACCTTTACTTCTTTTCCTGTTCATATTTTCTTGATGTAATCAGGGAATGGCACAAAATGTGGTTTTACGTAAAATTCGTAGCACTGAAAAAACACTGACCACTTCATTTAAAATTTCGAAAAAAAACTTTGTTGCGGTAAAAGTAACGTTTTATACAGGCGACAGAAGTGAATGTTGAATGCCGTGTATTCTACGGGAACGTCGGCGCTATGACTACTGCTGCCAGTGGCTTTTGTGTGCGACTGCTTCACTAGGGACGGATCGAAAATCCCTAATTTTCAGCCAGAGAAGGATTTGCCCTCGACTCTGCGGCATACTGTGTTAGAGCAGCATTTTATTTTTTCCTGACGGAAACTTGGCACGCACCATACTGATAGCTATTTCCTATTTTGCAGTAGTGTACTGCCAGATAATATTTGTGATTTAAATACGAATTATTTTGGTGATATTTCAAATTCACACAACTATTTGATGAAAAGTTAACTATAAAATATGTGATAGGTCGATAGACATTTGGTTAATAAAAATAGACTGGCAAGTTATACCGTATCAAAATTTTTGAATAATTTTCACCAACACCCAATGTGGCTGAAGTTCAACATTTAAGGCTGATAAAGGACTACAAAAACAAGAAGTTACAACATCTATCTGAAAGAAATAGGAATACTGGAAGATTTTTTTTTAGAACAAAAGATAAGAACATCCTGACACACCTTAAGTATATCCTGAATCAGTAATGCAGCTCGGAAAAAGTACTCGCAGGAGCTGCTAAGCTTTCCAACAAATTTTTGATTACGTTAATCTATGCAAAAAATGTGCAATATCTCGGACTTAGAAAAATGTGTTTGAAATGGATGACTACCTACCTACAAGCAATGAAAATTCTTATTAAAAAATGTTTGGAATGATGTCAGATTCTCAATTCTATTATCTGTCGAAGCTTGATTCGATAATATAAACTATTTGAAAATATTGTTGATATCAACTACGATAATACCCATCTTTGCACCAATTTAGTGGTAATTGGGTTGTTAAAACTTTTCATAATGGACGACGTAGTATTTTAGCGGTAAAGGACATCGCACACATCTTATGGGTTTTCGGGGACCGGTCGATTTTTTAAAAAATTTGGTATGTTGTAGTACTAGTGAAAATAAGTATTTTTCATCATTGCGCCAAATCTCTAACTATACAGGGTGACCCAGTAAAGTGGGTCCGAAAATCATTGCCAAGCCTTTTAATTATTGATGTTGGCACGCACTGCAAGCTACATATCGGGATTTTTTTTCTATTTCGCAAATAAATAGTCTAGATAAGCCTAATATATTATACAGGGTGGCTAAGCTTACGTATTCTTTTAAAAATACTGCCCTATTCTTGGTAATAGTGTTACGAAAAAGGTCGTGCTGGAATTAATTTGCCCGTAACTTTTCCAATTTTTGCCTGATTTTAGAAAATCTGGTCCCAAAATAAAGCTTACATCATAGAGGGATGTCATGAAATCTGAAAAAATGACAAATCTCATAGAATTCGTGTGAAATATCGCCTTTTTTGGCTAGAAACCGTCAATAATTTACATCTGAGGAAGCAAATAATACTCGTAAGATTACAAAGACATGTTGGATGGACATTTGAAATCTGTGTTTAACACAGAATGTTGTGACTAGTGCAAAATATTGAAAATGCCCTACATGAAAGGATTCAAAGAGAAATCCTACAACTTAGGGGTGGTGGAGTGGTGGGGTGGGCCTTAAGTCGATTTACATGAAAATTATATTAATTTTTCTATTCTCACTGTTGAGTATTGATGAACTAAAACTTTCCGAATATATCTAAATATTTTCGGGGTTCACACAAGATAAGTAAGGAGAGATTTTCTGTTTGTATCATTTTTGTTCTCCCCTGTGCTGGATGGAGGGAATCCAGTATTGGGCACATACTGCACATGCAAAGTTATTGCATTGTTAGGTACTTTAGCTACGCTCGACATGAGAACAATGTGAAGTATCCATCAAATACGTTACTTATATTAGGGCCGGTTTATCAATAGCGAGTCATTTCCGGGTTGATTATAACTCCAGGGTAAACGTTTCTCCAGAGCGAGTTAGCTATAACTCTTGGTGTAACCTTGGGTTAAATTGGCTCACTGTTGATGATAATGCGGGTTTAGCGATTTATGGATTTACCCCTTGAGATAACCTGAAAAAAACATTTTTTTTTTTTCGTGATCTACTGATTTGTCAATTTTGTGGTAATATTTTTTTTCCAAAATAGAAATATATGGACTGATTGATGAAGATGAAGATTTCTACAATTTCGTAGCAAAAACGCCCCATATAATCCGCCAAAGGATTAATCCTCTCGAGAAATACGATGACTAGGATTTCTCTACAAAAGGATTAAAAGTTCATGTCTGACCTCTTGCACCCTATAATTCGCTTATATTATAGCTTGATTATTATTATTTTTTCCGATTCAAGAAAGTTTTTTCGTCTTGGGATATCTTCCTTCTCCATGACTATCGACTACACACACTGCATTAACCACGGTCTTCAAAAATTAACAAATTGTTATGAAAAAATGGTGCGCCAAAAAGAATACTCGAACTCATCATTAACTTAACAACTTAACAACAAACTCCAAAAAGTTTTGTAAATGGGCTAATTTGACGATCGACTCATGCGTGACTGCTTTCGACCAATCAAAAATATGTTAGGATCACCATCCTGGTAAACAATAATGCTACCAACTATTGCTTAACCCAGTGTTTATTAACTCCACCTACAGTGGATGCTTGAGAAACAATCCTCAGTTAACCCCCAAGGTTGAAATTAACACCGGGTTAGTTTACCCCTAGAGTTACTCGCAATTGAGGAACCGCCCCTTTGGGTGTATTGGATGTATTCAAGACCATAATCGAATGAAAAGTTATACTTTTATCTTATCACGTTCAACCACCTCAAATTTTATCACATTTCTACTTTTTTTAGATTTCATGCCATCCCTGTGATATAGGCTTTATTTTGATACCACATTTTTTTAAATCGGACAAAATTAATTCCAGCACGACCTTTTTGGTAACACTATTTCTAAAAATAGGGCAGGATTTCTAAAAAAATACGCAAGCTCAGCTACCCTGTATAGTATATTAGGCTTATCTGACTATTTATTTGCGAAATCGAAAACAAAAATCTCGATATTTAGCTTGCAGGGCGCGCTAATACCGATAATGGAAAGGCTTGTTTTATGATTTTCGGACCTACTTTACTGGGTCACCCTGTATATTTAGAAATTTAGCGCAATAGTGAAAAATGCTTATTTTTGCTAGTACTACAACATACCAATTTTTTAAAAATATCGACCGGTCCCCGAAGACCCATAAGATGTGTGCGATGTCCTTTGCATGCCTGACATTGCATCTGATATCTAACTTATTTCTAATATATTTATTAGTCTTATATAAGAACTCAACCGTTTTACGGCATATTGGTTTCACAGGAAGGAAAATAGTGATATTGATATGCTTTATCAAACTAAAATAGCATGTACCATTGCGATCAGAAAAAAGTAGCGCAAAAAATTATCAACCCTATTTTGAACTCCCTATTATTAACCTACAACACGTGTTTCGTTTCTTCAAAAGGACTGTTCCGAGCAGCATTTGGAAGTTTAAGACTTCACCTTTGGCTTAGAGCATCCCTCACTTAGAGGTAAGATTATTTCTAATGTTTGAGGCTCGATCTGTTTTTTATACGAACATCGTTATAGGGTCTTAGGCTGTAGTTAGAGGATTCTAGGATATACCTAGACAGCTTCTAGGCTGTATTTAGAGAGATTCTAGACTGGATCTAGATTGCTCTCAGTTGGGCCTTTGGTAGCCATTCTTTAGCAACTCTCTTGGTACCACTCTGACAGAACCATGTGGAGTTCTACGTATAATGGATACAACGTGGATAGTGCTCCTATAGAACTCACTTACCACACCTTGATCTATCTATAGTGAGACCAAACCTGTAGATAACCTCACTTTGGAAACTTCTGGATTTTCACATATGTACATTTCACTTGTATACATGTAAGTTGCATCTTTTACTATTTAGGCAAATCTTATATAAATCATCTGACACTGAATTACGTCAGTACGTGCCCCTTAATTAAAATTCTAGAATTTTACCCTGAGGTTGCCCTAACGATAATGTTCACCTTTCTGGTGTTAAATTTACCTGTTGGTAGAGTGTAACCCATACTGTTCTTTTTAATCTTTCACAAGTGTTAATAAACAGTTAAAACTGTTTATTTTAAATTCATATATTCATTATTTAAATACATTTGTTTATTTATTCAAATATTTACGAATTAGGTACAAGCCTAATCCTAAACACCTTTTTTAATAACGTCCTGGCTATTCCTATTTAATATTGTTATTATTTTTTAATAAAGGAAGCCAGATACATTATTGTACCTAATTAGTTGTTTTATTGTTAAGCTCTCCAATTGCACAGGTTTTGTTTTAACATCAATAAGTAATCTTCCTAGTTAAGTCAGAATTAACTTGGTGGCGCCCAGAGATAAGATGTATACAAGGAAACCATAGACCCATGGCCTCCGAACTGATGCTGACTAGCCGTATGCAGTATAATTAGGCAATTGCCAAAATAAGTACGTTATAAGACTCCTGACAAAGTCAATTGATGACAAAGAGGTCGCCCAGCGCCACCTTTTTGTTTCTAGATATAGAGGCAGCATTTAACAACGTTCCAGCAACATCAATGATGAACGCACTCAAGCGTAAGAACATCCCGTATACCATATGCAGCTGGATAGGAGCCAGCCTAAGAAACAGGGTGATTACATCTATTCTGGGTGAGCACTTAGTAGAAGCAATAGCGGGTAAGGGCTGCCCACAGGGAGGCATTTTATCGCCATTGTACTGGGCGGTCCTGGTCGACGATCTCCTGACAAAAATGGCCAAGGAGAGATTGTACTGCCTCGGCTACGCGGATGATATAGTCCTAGTAGTCAGAAGTAGGCATCTAGAACATGTCTCAGGAAGAACTCAAAAAGCACTGAACATAGTAGATAACTGGTGCAGGGATGAAGGCTTGTCGGTTAATCCGCAAAAAAACGTAATTTCCCGTCCACAAAGAGAAGAGTACTAAGAAACTTTGATGTCCTAAACTTAATGGAGCGGAAATCCCCTTCCCAAAGGAGATCAAATATCTAGAAGTTATTTTTGACCTTAAGATGACCTGGGGTCCACACCTCAAGAAAGTTGTCTAGGAGGCTTTGTGGAAAAGTTGGGGACTTAATCCAAAGACGAATCTATGATTATACAAAACGGTGATAAGACCAATGATAACCTATGGTTCTGTTGCCTGGGGTACATAGGTCACACAGGCCGTAGCACCTCGTCCGCATGCCCGAAACACGTCTTCCACGACAGATTTTCTACAGTCAACTGGACGAGGGAAAACGGAATCAAGAAGGTCAACAAAAACTCTACGAAGATGTTCTCGAGGAAAATATGACAAAGTCCGCATCGATACCAGTACCTAGGAGACGACGGCAAATGATAGGCCCTCATTGCGTCGAGTAGTCTACGAGGGACCACAAACTTCTGAAGAACAGCGACGCAGACACAAGACCAAAAAGAGGGACCGCAGGAAGGGGCGAGAGAACAGAGCATGAGACCATGTTGTTAGAGGATGGGTCTGCGAAGACTGTGGAAGAGTGTGCAGCTCCAGCATTGGTTAATATAGCCATCAGGAAACGCACAATCGACGAGAATAGAAATAGAATAGGAGAGTATGATTATACTCGGTATCGAGTGATCGCCTCTGATGATGTTGATGATGAATGTTGGTGTGGTTTCCAGTCGTCAAATTGTTACTTGGGAATTTGTTTGCAGCCCTCCTCCTGCATAATTTATTCGAAAAATTCAAACCAAAAGAAATGGCTGAATCTATAAGCGCTGAAACTATAAACCACCACTTTTTGGCTGATAATCTCGTCCTGATAACAGAAAGACTGAACCGAGGACTGAACCATGCAGTATAAATGATTCGTGGCTTGAATTCTGCCTCTCACAGGACCGCCAACGATCAATGCCTTTAAGACTAAATCTATGGCCGCACGGTTAGAACGTAAAAATATATGGTTTTGTTGTGGTGCTCGCTCGTGCTGTCAATAAATTGAACAAGCGAATTCATATAAATAAATACTTGGGATACGTCGGCTCGGCTTGGGTATCATTAATTTTGACATAACATTAACTTAACGCAAAAGTGTTTCAATAAAATAAAGATTGCTCAGCGTGCAATGTTGAGAAATTTACTTCGAAACAGGATTAGGGAATCACAAAGAAAAACAAAAGTTATCGAAGCTATGGAAAGAGTAACCAGTAAGTGGACGCGTAGCAAGACAGGGAGACTCGAGATAGACTGAATAAATCGTAGAATAGTATCCAAGACAAGAGAGTCTCGGAAATATTATGTCGACTACATGATGATTGCGTTGGACCGACGACATGAAAAAATCACGAAAATTGGATTCAGACCGGGAGGTATGAAAGATGTTTTGAGAGGCCCTCTTCCAGCAGTCTACCAGAGTGGCTGCGTAATGATGGTGAGTCGGCAATATTCTTTAATAAGCCTAAATGAAGAAATATTTGAAATCCGTTATTTAAACAGTAATTTTATATGGAAAGCTTACAGTGCATGTTTTAGGGAAACAAGCTTTCAGCATGATATAATTAGAACTACTTCATGCCGATGCGCCAATTACGCAAATAAGGAAATGAGCGTAATAGGAAATTATTGACAAATCCTCTAAGCCGCTTTGATTTATACCAATTTTTAAGCTCTAATAATGAGGGAAATATAGCTTTATTGGGAAGAGAAAATATATATGAAATGAATGAGATTTATTTTGCTGATTTTTTTTTATATTCATTCAACCTTAAATAGGTGTTAGAAGCCTTGAAAATTTATATTTAAAATACAATCTGATGAATTTTACTAATTCCCTTTCGCCAAGTTGCCTCCTAACGTTGGTAAACCATAAAAATAAAATATATCCTTTTTATAAGAAATCAATAGGTATTTTATTTTTAGGCCGCACGGTTAGAACGTAAAAATATATGGTTTTGTTGTATTTATAGGACATAAAATACATTGGCCAAACTTGCAGAAACTTGAAAGGCCGACAAATATTACAGAAGAATTTTCTTAGAAATGGTCCATATTCACAATGATGCAATAAATAGAAGGACAGACATACAAAATCTCAGCAACATCTATTCACATGTCCTTAAACTACACAAAGATACTGTCTCCCCATCGAATTAATTATTTTATTATTTTAGATAAAAAACCCAGACGACTCGTAGCAAAGGGCAAATTAATGTATGTAATGTTCATGACAAGTTGGTGGTTCATGGTTGGTTGTTCAGTGGTTGCCATGGTTGTGGTTATACTTTGTCTTTTGGTGAATGTTGCCACCTACCGCACAACCGCGATAACAACGACGTTTGACTGCAGTTCTCTGGTGATTGAATCTTTGAAGAAAAATAACTGTAACTAGGTTTACCTAGAGGCATACACTTTAACTAGATTCGTTTAAAAATTGGTATGTCGTTTCTGTTTTTTTTTTCTTGTTGTAACATGGCTTCACTCTCCATCTTGTTTCAAATCAATGTTAATAAGAAAAATACAATTTTAAAATATTAATCGCCTCGGACACAGCATGGTGAATTTGCTCACTTCTTTCCTGGCTTTAAAGGTCCGGTAGTTTGATTGAAAATATTGTTTCCAAGAATTTTATTCGATTGATCAAACAGGGTGAAATTTTTTCAATTGCTATTAACATAGGTGTGTTTTTGGATGTTTCTAGTCCCCCAGGAAAGCTAAAAAACTAAGTCGTTAGTCTTGTAATTTATTACTTTAATCACATTGTCAAATAAATTATTGTAAAAATTTTAGGCTATCCTGAAGAAGGCAATTAACAGTTGCCGAAAGCTTGACAAAGCAAAAAAGTGTTTTAATTTTTGTCCCTGTTCCATAAGGATTTTACTGCAACCCCACGAGGAAGATTTTCAGTAAAGAAGAATTTTCACTAGTTTGCGTTGTATTCATAGGTAGTTGTATACCAATTGCATATTTTATAGGTTGAGCTGGCCGAAAAAATTTAATTTAATCGTCTAAATATCAAATTCAAATTCAAATTCAAAATGTGCTTTATTGTGTAAATATAAATATTTGTTCACAAAAGCTGATCCTTTGCATCTGTAATTTTTTTAACCAAAACGTAGCAGGATCGATTAAATTGAAACCTTTCATATAGTTCCCATTAAAACTTGAGCTAACTGCCACAAAATTAATTCACAAAATGAATAATTCAAATAAGAGACACACGCTATATTTGGGGCGACTATAGATACTTTGCACCATATCTCAATCTGCAGCAGCATATAGCTTCAAATTTGAGCCGATATTGTCCCAGTTGCGTTTAAATTATCTAGGAGAGTCCGTCTATTATAATTGTAGTAGTTCTCAACGTTACATAGTCATAAAAAGAATAAAAATATGGTAGTGCTCAATTTTCAGATAGATAAAAGCTCAGGCCTCTTCCTCCTTGACCTGATTGTTTCAACCCTGCTGTAAATAGCATCAGATGAATAGAGGGTAGGCACAGTGGCGGATACAGGGGGGGGGGGCGCCCCCCCCCCTGAGAGCCTCAAAAACTAATATTTTTTTTTTAAATCATAGAAAAATTTTAAGTAGGTATAGGAGAATTTTTTGCTTCATGGAAAAATTTTCCAAAATGTTATTGGAAAATTTTCCAAGCTACACTATAGTTCAATTTATTGTTTTGTGTTATATTTTTATTTGGAATAGGTATTTTCATTTGTTATTTTCGGTTTTTTGATATATGCAGGGTTGTCGGGTTGTTCAATTTGGACACTTTTGATAGAAAACATCAATTTCTGAGCGAGATACAAAAAAACCAACCCCTACTCTGAGACTCAAATTTTATGATATCTTGAACCGTTTTGTGGCTAGAGAATCTAGTGAATTTCTCAGTTTTTTCCTATTTGTTCCCGAATTCGAGATATTAACCGATCCGATTATTTTGATGGGACACCGGACACCCTATACAGGGTGGACCGATGGAAACTTTCCACTCCGATTTTTTGGATTTGAAATGAGAATCTGGAAGAACGCTCAGATAAGTCGATTTTTGATTCGAAGGGGAACTATTTTTCAGTTTTTTTCATCCCTGTAGCTTCAATCCCCCAAGCTGGGGGGAGATCAACCCCCCAAATTTGGATAGGGAATAGGAGTCATGTCATAAATTTTTTCAAAGGTCTCATCAAGTTTTTTATAACCCTAGAATTTCGTTTCATTATTTTCATCCGTAACGAAATGACAGCTTGTCAAAATCTTGGAAATAGACTATTGTTTTAGAAGTAAAAGTTATACTTCTCACCTCCCTTGATGAAAATATTTACAATTAAAATTGTTTTATTATTATTATCAATCAGGTGTACACGTGAATTGTAAGTATTTTTATTAGGGAAGGTAAATATCGCTTTTACTTTTTCAATGGTCTATTTCCATGATTTTGACAAGCTGTCATTTCGTTACGGATGAAAATAATAACCCGAAATTCCAGGGTCCTAAAAGAATTCAATGATACCTTTAAAAGCAGGTATCACACGACCCCTATCCCCTATTCAAATTTGGGAGGTTGTTTTCCTCGCAGCTAGGGGGTTAAAGCTAGGGGGATGAAAAAAACTGAAAAACAGTTCCCCCTCAAATCAAAAATCGACGTGTCCGAGCGTTTTTCCAGATTTTCATTACGAATCCAAAAAATCGGGGTGGAAAGTTTCCATTGGCCCTGTATATTAATATGTAACTGATTGGATAGCTCCGCTTTTGCTGCTTTCATAAAGTTCGATCGGTTTATCTCTAACAGTTTTTCTCGACGTTTAACTGCAAAAAAAAATATATCTGTTTTTGTTATAAGAAACAATGTGTTAGAAGAGGACTTTATATCTATAAGGAAAATAGGATAGGTCTCCTTTTAATACATTGTTCCTTTTGATTGAAACATTGCAAAAGTACCTCTACAAAGTTTATACAAAAATCAATTAGTTTCATAAATGAAAAAGTTAGGGAGGTTTCACCTTATTGCTCAAAATCGAGAAACATCCTCTAGCGGCAAAACGGTTGAGGGTATCAAAAGGCGGTTTGCAGTGTTTGCACCAATCAAGATTTCATGAGATTTGAACGTCAGCAGAGCGGGAGGTTCATTTTTTTGTATCTGGCTCAAAAATCGACGTTTGATATCAAAATTGTCCAAATTGGACCACCCTGTACCTACATTCTTTAACGTATAAGTAAAGTAAAAGTAAATTTTCAAGAAATCGTTGTTGATCCGCCACTGGGTAGGCAGCTGAGAAACTAAATGCCAACCAACTTTGTAAAACTGATGAAAGCGATCTTATTTAGAAAATATTGCCGCCAAAAAGTTTAGCTCATATGAATGTTTTAGTACCAAAAGAACAAATCGAAGGTCGTATAACCTACAGGCGTTTCTTCTGTTCAAATCGAATAGAGAAGAATGGTTTTACTCTTACTGTGCGTTAAAATACAGTATCCGCCACATATCCCAGACCGTAGAGAAGGAGGAAGAGATTAAAGAAGGAAGTGATACTTTATTCTGACAGATGTTATGAGAAATGGTTTTTTGATCTTTGCTTTCCAGTATTCTCTTCTTGGTTTATTAGGATCAGGATCAGGCCTCAATAAAATCCAATTTCAACTTGCCGCTGTGCCGAAAAACATATTTAATATTTTTTTCCTAAATGTTAACTATTGTGGACTTTATTATTTTGTCAAGATAATGTTGGTCTCTATTCTGGAATTGTTCGAAATGTCTCGTACCTTTGTATCAAAGATAATACACACTACTACTACAGGATAGCCTATCCTCATAAGGCCTATGTGGAACAAATCTGAAGTCCCCCACCACGCCAAATCACCAGTTGTGACATA